TAAGATAAGTTCAGAAAACTTTAGAAAAACCACATAAATGGCTTGGAAAATATGAAGAAAGATCAGAAAACATAAGGAAAACCTCGGAAAAAGCTTAGAGAAAGCTCGTAAAAACCTGAGAAGAGTTCAGGAATCAAACAGCCGGATCTTTCTTCCAGGGTTCGGCCGCCTCAGGATGGAGCCGGGAGCGTCGCCATGGAAACCCTGCATCCAGCTGACCCTGCTGCTGCTGCTGGTCCACCTGAGGCTGCCTGAAGGTGAGCAGAGGCTGGTTCCTGGTTCCTGGTTCCTGGTTCCTGGTTCCTGGAGCCGGAGGTCTGAGAGGATCCCCAGTTCTGAGTTCCTACCTACCCACCTACCTACCAAAGTACCTACCTACCTACATACCTACCCACCTACCCACCTACCCACCTACCTACCTACCTACCTACCTACCTACCTACCTACCTACCTACCTACCTACCTACCTACCTACCTACCTACCTACCTACCTACCTACCTACCTACCTACCTAGCCACCTACCTACCTATCCATCCATCCATCCATCCATCCATCCATCCACCTACATACCTACCATCCATCCATCCATCCATCCATCCATCCGGGGGCTTACAGGCTTCTTCCCTCTCTTTCCCCAGATGAGACGGAGTACGAGTACAGTGGCAGTGAAGAGGAGGAGGAGGAGGCGTCGGAGCAGGAGGGCGAGCCCAGGTAGGAGACGGTGGATCTGGGATCCGGTGGGTGGTAGGGTTGTCACGATATTAAAATTTTCAACTCGATACCGATACTCAGGAAAATACTCGATACTCGATACCATTTTCGATACCACAAGGATAAAAACAAAGACCCCAAAATTGAACTGAATTTTGACAGGTTAGTGTCTTTGGTTTCAAACATGTTGACCTGTTACTGATGTTATGGTGGCCCACATTAAGGACCCTAAACCTGACCCTAACCCTAACCCTGACCCTGACCCTAAACCTAACCCTGACCCTAACCCTAAACACTGACCCTAACCCTAACCCTGACCCTGACCCTCCACCCTTCATAATTGTGAGAAATAAATATTTTTTGGTTAAACTTGTTTGGACTTATTGTAAAAACCTATTTAACATCCACTATTTTAACATAATATTATGTATAGAGTTTAATTAAGTGTTTGAAAAATTAATTTCACTATTTTTAAATTATTGTCTATATTGCCATGAAGCAATTAGGATTTTCTTGCCTGGGATCTTCCTATTGGTGACCTAATCAAAATGGCCAATTGGATGTGGGCGGAGTTGGATATGTAGTTGATTACTGTTGGCGTGTTATTATTAGCCATTAGCCGCAGCTAGCAGTTCAAGGCTAACATCTTGCTAATGATCATAAACAACGTAAATAAATACATAAATAAATCAGAGAGAAGGGGCTCGGGGGTTATCGATACTTTTGAAACTGAGTATCGTATCCGGATACAACATTTTAATTCAATTCAATTCAATTTTATTTATATAGCGCCACATCACAACAACAGTTGTCTCACAGCGCTTTCCAAACAGAGCAGGTCAGACCCTACTCTGAAGTTAATTACAGAAACCCAACAATTCCCACCATGAGCAAGCACTAGGCGACACAGGCAAGGAAAAACTTCCTTTTAACAGGCAGAAACCTAGAGCA